TCTCGGTTAACAAAGACGACAATGGCATTATCGTTGGTGGTACCTGCAGCGTCCGCGATGGTTGAAATTGGGTTCGGCAGATCGTAGGCAAGGAGCATATCTACGCTGTAGTGAGAAAGAGAGCAGTGCATAAGAATACGATGAAAATGTGTCAAACGGCATTTCAAGAGAGCACTCTCTCAAGAAAAAAGTGAAAGAAACGGTTCATACAGATGTTCGTGCCCCAAGGATTATTGAAGACGAAAAATCGAAGGATCTGAATTTACTTGACTCTCCATTACAGTCAACCACTATTCGGGATACCAAGCAGCTGTATAATTACCGTTATTTCTATGGGTAAACAAAAACCAGATCTAGTATCGATCAAACTCAGGAAGTTATCCTTAAACTCCTTGAGCAAAGATCCACTGCTGATGAAATGGACCCAGATTTGCTTGACAAGAATAAAGCATTCGTCAGAGAATTCCTGTTAAGACACGAGAAGCAAGCTTGTTTTGTGGCATATTTGCAACAGTCTCACAGATATAGAACGCTTCTCCACAACATCAGCAAATCCCAGGCTTACTACGCCTTTGGCTTTTGACACTACATTTAACATTGCAAATCATCTCGTGACACAAACGACCTACAAGCAGATGTCAGTAATTGGAAGAGAGAGTTTAAGGAATCCCTGGTTTCTAGGTCCCATTTCTGATTCATCGAAATCAATCAGCGCAAGATTTTGCACATTTTTGGCAAGCAGTGAAAAGAGGGAATCCGGCTCTTACCAAAATCCTTGCTTTTGGTACAGATGAAGACGAAGCACTTTCTAGCGGCATTCTTAAAGAAACGAGTGGAAAGACCATTCACCTTTTGGGCAAAGAGCATGCCCAAGCAAATGTAGATAAAAAATTGCAGTCGTTAAATTTTACTTCAATCCAAAGAAAAATTATAGTGAGTGATATTTTCGGGGGTGCCACGTGCAAAGAAGAAGATTCTCTTTACTGAAGCGAAAGTACTTTTATTTACAACCGTAAGCTATTGCAACTGAAATCAAAATGGCTTCAAATAGAAAAGGAACACACCAGCAAGTGTCCCGCGAGTCAGTTCGTCGATTATTTTGAAACTTATAAAGAGAAGCAAATGAGGGACAAAATTATTAAAAAAGTTCGAAAGCAAGCTTCCATTGACGGAGCGTACGGCCAAAATCCAATGAGTAGCAAAACGTCTTACAAAAAGATGAAATATCCTCCCACGTGCATTCAGAGGGCCGTAGTCATCGAGACCCGACACTTTCAGAGTGCCTAGATGCCTTGAAAGCACGCAGTATCCGTTTATTTAGCAATGTTGTCAAAGCCATATATGATTATGGTCCTTACGTCCTAGCACCAGCCTACCACATGTTTCGTAAAACATATGCCGATTGTAAAGGCATGTCATCAGACGGACGAAAGGTGCACATCACAGCATTCATAGCTTACATTCCAACCGAACGCTTTCCGTATCGCTTCAAGAAGCTTCGGTTCTAAATGATGTTTTGCCTCCTCACCTCTTACAAGATGCTTTTAATAAAGCCGAAGAACTGTTAAACGAACCCAACTCCATCACTAAAGCGGCTACAGACGATGATCGTTTACGCACAGTTAAAAGCCACAATGGATCCGTACCATTGATTGTTAATTAAGCCATTCCATAAGAACAGAGACCTCTTTCAGTGTACATGCAAGGTCTATAAGGCATTAGGAATGTGCTGTGATGCCATTGCCGTCGCAGATGAGGTCGGAGTTCTCTGCAATTACCTTTGTGAACTATGAAAAAAACTTGGCAAGCGAAAGAAGAGCGCCGGTAAAAAAGCCGTCAACTTAACAGCAGCTGTCCAATCTGACTTAAGCTCTTCGCTGAAAGGTCACAAAAAGAGCGAGACCCAAAAACTTTCACATAAAGACCGGCCACAAGTGATGAGTCCTCTCCCACTGGACCAGTAAAACAACCCAATGTGCAACAATCATTGCCCACGAACACGCTTGCTGAGGACAATTCCACCCGCATTTACCCTCCATTCTTGTCAACGGAATGTTTATTTCAGCCCGCAAACCAACGTGTCCTCACTGATGCACACTCCGCCATTTTCAGCCAGCTTAGCATCGTCATTCCGCAACCACATTGTCGCCAACAAGTAGTTTTAATTTACAGCAGCAAAGCAATGCTAGCAATCACATTTTGATTCCTGGAAGTCCAGCATGTCCCCATACCGGTAAGAATTAGTACTTCTGCCAAATTCCGTCACAAAATGCTTTGGCTGTAATCAGGGGTTCACTTCAGGGTACCGAATATCACCTAATAACCTGATCGTTAGGTATATCGACAGACGAATCACTGGGCGTGACCATATAGGGATCATTGACATTTAGTCCTGAGTTCAAAGCTACGTATTACCATCCTGACAAAGAGCACATTATGGTGAAGAATGCTGCATTTGATGGTCGTGTCTTCGTCCCTTTCATTCTGTCTCAGATGCTTTGACCTGAACAACTTCATGTTGTTAACAATTTAAATCTTAATGTTAACTTCCTTCAAAATAGCTAAGTAGTCAAGTTAAATGGACATTGTAATACTCCTCAGTATTGCGAAAAGTAAAATCTGAAAAGGTGGGGGGTTTACAACATTCAGTTATTACGTTGACATGATTATGGTTTGAGCCATTTCCCAATTGAGCAGGGTACTGGGTCTAGTCGCGAACCACAAAGTATCTATGGACTGTTTGGAAGGACAAATGATTTCAGACTTATATTTCCTGTCCCTCCAAACAGTCCATATATACTTAGCGGGTCGCGACTCGACCCAGTACCCTGCTCGATTGGGAAATGGCTAATTGATTACGCCTTAAACAAAAACTGTAGTGTTTGGTATAAGATTAACTAAGATACGATATCAATCATTGTTTTAGTTATAAATTTACTCGTTTAGCATCACCAATCTTGGGAGCTTTCATTTGAACAATTTTGTTACCTAAGGCCAACCTCGTACCCAGGGTCTTTCGTAGGCTTTTCTGGGGGCACAGTTGGGGGAAAGCACTGCAATGAAAAGTGCCCTGCGGCGGAGGTTCACCTAAGGCTAGGCTAACCTGCTTTGAACACTAAAACCGGTCACTGATGATTATACTACAATCTTCGACAAAGTCGTATGCGCATTCTTTTCTTTTTATATGTACCTAATCCTTGTTCCCTCTAGCTGCGAAGTTGAGTTTAAGTCATATTAAATTTCCCGCTTAACATAACTTCACGTTAGTAAACTATTTTGTCCGAGATTGTAGTAACCACTAACCAGCCTGAATCTTAAATAAGTCCGAGTTAATACTTTACTATAATAAAGACTGTAACTAAAAGATGCCTCTGTACGGTCTTGTTGTGTTTTTGTTTAAATGAGTTCAAATATTTAAAAAAATTACTCGTGTTTGTGTTTTTTTACTCGTTTTCATAATTTTTGGGGTCTTTTTGACTCGTTTTCGCTCGTGTTCATGATTTTTTTACTCCTGTTCACTCGTATTCATGATTTTTGGACTCGTGTTCGCTCGTGTTCATTAATTTTTGACTCGTGTTCATGATTTTTTGACTCGTGTTCATATTTCTGGAGTCATGTTCTGACTCGTGTTCACTCGTGTTCTGACTCGTGTGATGTTTTGGGACAGATCTTCCTGCCAGAGGATCTATACTAGTCTCATATTATTACATCAACTGTTCCTGGCATGAGTTTGAAATGTGTATAATACCTCTCGAAATTAAGACCGTTTAAAACCTCTTAAATATCAACTGAACTAATATGTACATTCAACACTGATAAAAAATGCAGAACGTTATAAATGACGTTTTTCAAAGCAGAAAATTCTCAATGGAGGAATGGATGAATAAAACGTACCTCGATTATCGCCTTTAGAACCATGCCAGCACCTTTCACAATTGTTGTCGACGGATGCTGAAATTGTTGAGGAACGAATTCAAAGATTGGTAAGAACAATTAGCGGTGCAATAGTAAAACATACGTAAGCTAAGAAATGGTAAAATTGGTACTATTTTTTGCAGTTTTATCTTAAACCTACCTGAAGCAATCGATAAATGCAATGACCCATTTCTAGACAAACAAATAACAGACTTCATGAGTTGCTCCCATGCATGGGTCAAGCTAGTGGACGTGGTAAAATTCACCAAAAAAGGTAAAGAGAGAAAGGCTATTTAATCAACTCTCAACCTCAGTAAAAGAGCAAACGTCAGAAAATCAAGCAATCCACTTATAAATAAAACTCCAGTAGAACGATTCTAGAAGAAAAGTTTTCATGGTTAATCTATTTCTTGTTTTTAGTTAGAATGGTAGTCAAAATTAGAAAGACAGTTGCTACGAATCACAAGCTGGTTTTGCAGGGGAATTTCTCTTCCAAAACAAGGCTATATACATACAAGAGGGATGGAAAATAAAGTGCAACGGTTCAGTGTAGATTATAGGCAACCAACACCGCACATCTTACCACGTTTATTGTGAGAATTCCTAACCTGTTTAGAAATTTTTCAGAGGAGAACAAAGAGCTTTTGTTTATCTGTTCTTGTCAAATGTCAAAGTTATTGTGCGTTGGTTATACAAAACAACGGTATTGGTATTGCATAAAACAGAATTAGTTTCGATAAAATTGGATCTTGTTAACATGCAATTTCAAAGTTGGCTGAGTTTACGTATTTCGTTTCTTCCATCTATTTAGCTCGGAAATTTCGCCGCTATATTCTTAACGAAATACTCTATTTTAAATTTAAATATGTCCGGTCTGACCATTTTGGCCGCTTAAAGGAAAGCCCTGTCTTTACCTGCAATAGAGCAACACAACATGTCGACAGCGGCGTGAGTCACGGCTTCATTATTCCTCTTCAAAGCTTTCACAGTTTTCACACCAACCTTCTCACGCAAGTGAACTGGTTGAGTAAACAGCGTGTGTTGTGGTTAAAGATAAACGTTTGTCACCTAGTGAGCGTTGTGAAAGCGCGAAAACTGCTTTGGATCGAACCCAACTTCTCAAATCGTTAAACAGTGCTTCGAGATCTTTATCTCATATTTTGTTTTGGTCTCCTGCAAATAGACGAAACTTTTTAACTATTTTATGTATATATAGAACACCTGTGAAGGTAATAGCAGTCAGAATGTGTATACTTTAGGGTTGAACACTAAAAAATTTATTGGCAAAGATATACAATACCTTCGTGAGCAATGAGCATTGTGATGGCATTAATGATAAGTCTTTCTTATTCTCCGAGAAAAGTCCCTACAAATATTTAAAATCGTTTAAAATATATATTGGAGTTTAAAAGACTTAATATTCCAGCCGTACTTCTGGCGGGAAAATTTCAAAACTACCATTTCATGGATTCGGACCAGTCAACTCAGCAACCAGAGTTACCGCAGCCTAGTCCCTAGGCTTCTTAACGTTCCTTATACGCAGCGAGGCGGGAACTGAGAGGCCTAGAAAAAATGTTTTGTATTTTGGCTAAAGTGGGGACTTTTTGTCCCCACTTTCTGTATTGAGGTCAGTTTACGATCTACGACGCAGTTAACTGGCCTTGTTCGACGTCGTTAGTCAAACATTTTCTTGAAATAAGCTACGCGATATTAATTATACTGCCAGGAGTCGAAATATTCATACGTTTCAATGTCGCTCGCCGTCAACGCTATCGACTATCAAGTAAACTCGAGTCCGTACGTACATGTTTATGATTAATAAACTTCAATCCACCAATTCATATTTTTCTCGCTTCCTTTATAACGGTTACTGTTGTAAATTGCAAGCATTTACTTTAATAACAATTCTAATTTCAAGTTCACAACATTAAACGGGCCGTTAAGATTAGAAAATATTTTGTGTTAGGCCTCTCGCGCATTTCATTCGGTGACGTGACGGAAATATAAAACACGCACAATGAGAGGCCTGGGTCTAGGCTGGAGTTACGGGGTTTTTAAAGAGTACTATTAGGGTTTTGTGTACATTTGTGCACAGAACAGTAGCAGGATAGGGTATTTTTATTAAAGCTATACTCTTTGCCTTTCGCTATACTGGATAATCAGTTTAAATTTACCGTGTTGTTTGCAGACGTTTTAAACCCTGCTAAATTTAATTAGCAGCTGAAATGGGCAAATGTTTTCATTTAACGTAACTATGCAGCCTAGCAATCGTTTAGTTTACACTAAAGGCTGCTTTCTACTTACGCGTTTTTTATACGCATGTACACATACGGAGAATTTTAAATGCTCTTAATATTTATTAATTAACATGCATCTAGGTCGATTTATTCACTTAGTTTTTTCAAGGTAAATGTATAAGGATTTAGATTTTTAGGTGCGTGTACGTGCGTATGAAAAACGTGAGTGGAAACAGCCTTAATCCAGATTTTCACAGAACATTAAAACTCAATAAAAAGTCAATAATATTCTCTACACAGGATTTTGTCCGCAGAAAAGTACAAGATAAGAAGTTGTCAACTTACGTCTTGGGTGACTGCATGAAGTAGACCGCAGTAGGAAATATTGCAGTTAACTCTGTACATAGCTTCGGTCAAATTTCCTGCAACGAACCAGTCATAAGAAAATATAAGCTTTTGGAGATATTTCAAAAATTTAAAGTGAAATAAAAAGAGAAATATTCACCTGGAGACGCAGTGAGGAATTAAATTACTGCTTTCTACTTCTTCGTCAACAACATTATACAATGGACCCAACGATAACCTTGAAAATGTCATCTTAAAAAACAATTCTCTTTTTGCTGTAGTGATGTATTGAACTGGCTAATAGGAATAATGCTATTGGCTGATACTTGACGAGAAGTGTAATTGTTGGTGTGTTATATGATATCACATACGTCAGCAGGAGAATGAAATGAGGGATCGTATTTACGGTAATCATAGCAGTACGAGATTTTCATCAGGAAAATTTTGACCATAATTTTCACTCAATCATCTATGAATAAGCGTACAGTACTTCTCTTCGTTGGGGTCGTTTTTACACAATCTCTGTTTCAACTGGCTCTAACACCGTCTAGCAAACCAGTTAATAATGTATCCCTAAATTGAGTGAAATACAAACATTCAAAACAAGAAATATTTTTTATAGCTTCATACAAAATTGCTTTCTTACACTACCTGTCAGGAGACGAGTAATTTCTCAGCCGACCGCTTGTGTATTCCGCCCCAACAACTGAGGATGGTTGATATTCTGGAGTAACTGCAAAAATAAAACTATTTTAACTCGGCTGGATACTTTTTTTGCAATTGGACACGTTCAAAATAGAAACGTGAAAGACAAAAATCGATAAAAGCAGTAAAATTTAATCCAGGTCAGAAGACATGGAGTGTTAGAAGTGTTTGGAGTGTTTTTTAAGGTCAGAGATGAACAATTACTGGAACTGACATGGAATGTCGCATGACTTAATGAGCTAAGGGATGAAAGGAGACGATATTGTACGTTTCTAAGAAACACAGCTTTCTTTGAACAGGATCCTAAATTTGAGAGTGTCAAAACGATTTTAAAATGAGAAAAAGGATAGACTCTTAGAAGAATTTATTAACAACATAACTCACTTTACTCCGAGGAGTTTCTTTATAGACGCTGAATTCTGACATTGATGTGATATGTTCGTCATCACTGAAACGAAAAATTTGTCATTTACTGTCCTATCTCACATTCTTTACACAGGACAAACCAAATACTGTCTTAATAATATATCATTCAACTGTATTTTCCAAATTTGTTTTAAAAAACGACTCCACTTTGATGGAACTTTTCTTCTGCCTAAAACCGAGGCAAAAGAAATAACAAATACAGCTCAAAGTAAATTACAGACCTGGAAAGAATTTTGTCAAAACGGTAAAAACGTAAACAAATAAAGTAACCTGAATGTAAGTCATTTTGTCATTTACCTAAAATTTGTTTACTTAAAATGTTCACATACTTTATCGTAATGTCAACGTTATTGAAAAAAGATTCCATCATCTTTTTCAGCAATTCCTCTCTCCTGTTTGATGTGAAAAGATGCTGGAAGACAAAAACAAAATTGTGCACAAAATGTAAAACTTCAATTTGCAGAAATAACCGGTATCTTATCCTTTTGTTATTATATGGCTGATACTAGCAGCATCTGGTACATACCATTCTGCTAATAACCACCACAGACAACAACAAATCCCTTAAGATTATCTGAGACCTAAGATAGAAATGGAATTAAAGCCTAAGTTAAATTATTGCAAATCACAAATATTCAAATGTCTGGCAATATCAAGTATCATACCAGTGCAATCAGTTCTATATCTTTATAGTTGTAAGAAGCCAATTTTTATTATCTCTTTAATCAATCTGATCCAGTGAGCCTGGTGACACCTAAATTGAACAAAATTGCTTCAAAAATGGCTAATAACAAGGAATGTATATATGTATATAAACACACAGGTAAGTTATCAAGAAACTTGAAAACAATAAAAGTACCTCTAACGTGAGTGCAACCTTTTGTTCACTCCAATGTAATTTATAACCACTAAACTTCTACACAAAAATATGGCATATGTTGATGTTGAAATAGTTTCGAAACGTTAGCTTCAGTTAGCTTATCACTTTAATAAGAACCCACTTATTAAATTAGAAAAGGAATATGGACCTAACTTTTTGAAGACAGAGGGGAGGGGGGGCATTGATACCATGATGAATTACGATTTTGAATTTATTGCGAATAGTTTCATTTTAGGGAATGAGGTATAATTAACCCGAACATACCATATCACTTCCACTTTTATGACCAGCAAAGTCTTTGTAGAACTTTTAAAATAAATAATCAGTGGTTAATTGACAGATTGTACAATACAGTAAAACAAAGGTACGAAATAATAAAAATTACACTTCCTTACTAAAGCCTCTGTGATAAGGTCTTCTCTGCGCTCAGTAGAAAATGTAATATTCTGAGTCTTTTGCCTGCTTTGTCTATAAAACAAAAACAGTTTTTTTACAAATTACCAGCAGTTGTCAGTTTCATTTTATCTCAAGATTGACAACTGACCTTTTCTCCCACCAATGATAACTTCTGTTGGTGCCTTCAAGCTTGGCAAGATGTTTAGAAAATCTTTGAAAGCCCAATAAAATATTTTTGAAAATTTGTCAGTTAATAACTTACTCCATGTGGTTACCAACCATTCACATGTGCAATGACAAAACTAGATTGAGAACTTTATGGCTGCAGTTATATTCCAGTTGCCAAAATACATAGAAAGACAGAATGATAGTTGTCAGGTGTTGAAATCCTACATACAATAATTTGCATGAAATTATGGAAATGATAATAAAATCCTAAAAGGACATAGGAATGATTTCAACATCATTTGTTAGGAAAATCAGCAAAAGAACCTCTATTTTGGAGTTGGTCTGAATTCTTGACATTTTGCCAAACTTTCTAATAGTTGTTTATCATAACAAAGAGCTATTATATATGTTAGGCATTTGCAAGCAAATTCCAATTTGAAACCCCAGGATCATGCAGCAATTATATTGTATCAATATGGTGGAAGACAGGAAGTCAGGATACATATCATGTCAGATAAGCCCATGTTGCAAAAGACATCTTAATCAAAATTTACATCAAAATGACTTTGACAAACATTGACACTCAGGTATATCACATACTCGGTTAGAAAACTTGTAATTTGTAATAACAAAAATATTACTATTACCTGGTAGTATTTAATATACCAGAGCAGTACTTGAGTGTGAAAGTACAAAAGTATCCAGAACTATTACACTTACACAAAATCGAAAACATTCGATTGCAATTCCGCCATGATCTTTGGCGCATACCCGATTCGTGAACTTTGACGTCGGGCGCGTGATGAAAGGACTGATGAAATATTATGTGGCAGATCACTAATGAGGGTTATAAGGCCGTGTTACGAGTCACGAAATATATTGTAATAATTAAATAAATATGTAATGCATAATTATACGGCACTAATAATATAATGCTACCATTAAATTGCTCTACGGTTCTACGGTTTTATGGTTTTATTGTTTGATGGTTCTACGGTTCTATGGTTCTATGGTTCTACGGTTCTACGGTTCTACGGTTCTACGGTTATATGGTTCCATGGTTCTATGGTTCTACAGTTCCAGGGTTCTACAGTTCCAGGATTCTACGGTTCCATTGTTCTACGGTTCTATGGTTTTACGGTTCTATTGCAATAAATACGAAATTTTCTAAAAATCTCTAATAAAGTATATTATTTACTCTCTTTTCGGTTTACACTGTCTTAAAATTCGTAAAAAACTAAAAACGATTGTTAATAAAAAAAAGGCAAAGCGAGAGGATGTTTGAAATTTCAAATTAAAATTTTGCCTTTCTTTTGTTGTACGGTTGGTTGCCGCGACACTATATCCCCAAATATGTCGATTATGCGTCCACTCTGACTCTTACTCATTATTATATTTCGGTCAGTGGATGCATTTACGTAACATTGGTTCACAAGGGAATGAGGGATATTTACTGTCAACAATCAGGCGTATACAATTAATTCATCAAACCATGGAAGAAAAACAAAATATTTCACCTATGATCACGGTGGCTGGTTGCTAAGCAAATTTCTCCCGCATTGACGGTGGGTCACGTGATCACAACAGACTTTGCGCAGCGTGTGGATCGATTACAGCCAAACTAGTAAAATTTGTGGACCATTTTCTATTTTGATTTCGCATTTAACGTTTTAGTTCCTGTTCTTTTTACAAAGGAAGCTTCCTTAATATGCCTATTCTTTAAAGCATATCAAAAACGCAGGAGCAACATACTCAAATTTTAGCTTTAAAATACCCTATTCTCAGGGATATTCCGGTTTACATCGGGGCGCTAGATGGTTAAAAAACTGTGTAGGGGTCCCTGAGTAGAACAATAATATATAGATACATTTTCGTTTTGGACTCCTCCACAGAAATTTTGTTTTTGTGGGAAAAAATTGCGAAATATCAAAGTTTAACGCAAAATTTCGTCATCTTTTGCTAACTATATTCTGTGTGGTCTATTTATGAAGAAATTTTAAAACCAAATATGAAGTTTATTATTTATTCTTTTAAATAAACTGGATTCCAGTTCGAACGAACAGTAAGCAAATGATCTGTAAATCGATGTTCATTTGCATATTCAACGTGGATGCCATCTTGGATATTTATATATCACTATTATCACTATTATGCAATATTATTATTTTTTATCATTAAAACGCTATGGAAAAGGAGTAGAAAATGTAGCAAACTTTAAATTACATTGGAAGATGTAATTCGGAGCGAGAGCTGCACAGATTGCGGGAGAAATCTCCCATATATTCTCGAATTTCCCTTGATGCCAGAAATTAACAAGATATAAAGCTAACAAGAGCTGAATTACCACTTGAAACTAAGAGGCGAAATTGAAGAACTAACAAAGACTGCTAGTAAGTGCTTTCCTATTAAAAATGAAAATTTATTTCATTGCAATGACATAATAAGGATACCTGTGATTTAAAT